CCTATCTGTAGATTACCATTCATTAGACTACTGAGACTATAACAAAGTAGTGTTTCTCTGTCTTTCTTTTTTTTCCATATCTCTTTTCTCTGACGGTAAATATAAGGAAAAGTTAATACCTTAAAACTCTTGCTTCTGTTTATCAATTTTATCTCTATAGATAAAATTGTGTGCTTTTGCTGTTGCAACAGTTATTATTTAAAAAAAAAAAGAACATTGAAAGAGCAGGTGTTTCTCCACCTCTTCATGTCTGCCACGTAGTTAGGCGGTTAGGTGTTAATAAGAAGTCGGTGAAATTCCCAGGTTGTGGCTGAAATGTTTTCTTTTGTAGAAAGTTGTCAATTATTAAGACCCCTCAGGGCTTCTGACTGAATCTCTGGAAAGAAGTTGGTTAATGACCCACACTCCGGCCTTGCAGAGCTCAAACGTTTTCTTCCCATTTATTCATTTAGATCTGTTAAGCATAATATCTCATTTTACTGCATTTGAAAAAGTTTCATCAATTATCTTTGGCTGCATGTTTATATTATGGAAGTACCCAAATGGTCTCCTGAGAGGTAGAGCTTTAGCTACGGATGGGGGTCTGCTTCATCTATCACCGGAGAGATCATATTGCTAATTTGAAAATAAACCTGACTTTTCTTAGTGGATTTATGCACAGATTTGTAGGCAGAGTATTGTATCTTTGGGCTGTTTTCATGTAAAGAGATAAATGCCACAAAATTGTCTGGAAATCTGAAAAAATAACTGGGATGTACACAGAGATGAACAAAAATAGCGTCTATGTTTGGCGATAACAATTAGAAAGGACATGAGCCACAGACAGGTTTTTACCTTAGAAAAATTGAACCTACTTGGATCTTCCTGGTTCCTCTGAAAATTCACCTAATATATTTTAGTGGCTGTTCAATTTATTTTTTATTTGATTTGAATAGCCAGCTCCCCATCTCATTTGTGACTTTAGATGACTCACATAATTAAACCAAACAACAAAATCAATAACACAAATACAAAAGTCAATAAAAGCAATAACTTCCTTAAAACCAGATTAAACCCCACTTAAAATCAGAAATTAAAGTTACTAATGGGTCAATATTTGAAGGTTGTTTTCTTTAATTGGTAATTCCCAGTATTTGAAATTATCATGACTTTTTTCCCACTTAATATATGTCTTCTGGAATTAATGTTATTTCATGTGCGAGAAGGGCGGGGTATAAATGGGAAAATAAATAAATAAAACGTTATTGAAACAAAATTCTATTCTTCAAAAAGTGGGGTATCATTGCCCACATAATCTGTAATGACCCACAGTAACACTACTCCTGGACTAAATTCAATAGGGCAAAAACTTCAGTGGGCCAGCTCACCTGTTACAGCTTGTCTGGTTTTTCAGAATGGTAGGAAAGATCCCCTGGAAATGCCCCACTCTCTGAGGCTTTTGAATTTCTAGGACAGGGTTCTGTGCCTTCTCCTGTATTGGTCTCAAATTATTCCTTCAAGAGTTTCCTGTTCTCAGCATTTATGCAGTTTCTAAAGACATAGCACTTTCAACAGATGTTACATTGTTAGGTGACTGTAATATTTGTTTTGTTGTTTTTAAACTGCATTATTTTCTTGCGATATTTTATTTTTATGCTGTTTACCACTTTGATTGCTCAACAGAAGCAACAGAGTATGAAGAAATTGAAGTATTTTAAATAACATTCTTTAATCGACATTTGTGTTACACTCCCATCTGCTTTGTAGAATTAGGTGACTTTTGTGTACTTGAAATGTTGAAGTAATAGGAGAGCGGTTGCATTGTATAGCACTGGGTGGAGTCCCCCATCAGTTCCGGTAAATTAAATATAACTTTGTGAAGTTTTGTTTTCCTTGTTTGTATCATTGATACTATATAATATTGGAGGGTGGGGAAAGAGAAGAATAAGTAGTACGTCTACATAATTTCTTGGGACAGCAATGGCAGCACTTTTCTTTTCTTATTTATCCCAACGTAAACTCTGAGATGGTTTCCTTGTTTTGTATAAATAATAAGCTGAAGTTGAAGAAGTGAAAGAATCAGAATTATAAAGTGGAACAATTATTTCACACTGCATATCAGAAATGGCACCAAATGCTTGAGTGATATTCCCATATTTTAAAAAACTGATACACAGAAAAATATGCTAATTTATTAGCATTTTTCTCTACCTTGCAATATTAGGAATATATGGCTCTCAGGGATACTTATATCTAATTTGCAATCTCAGCTCTGGTCTTCCATAACTCATTCATACCAATTGACAGAAATTTCTTGGAACTGTCAAGTTTTTCAATGTGTTGTCCCACAAAAAAACAAAACAGGCTCTAGATTACTGAAAACAGTAAATGTGGTTTCAACAGCTCATGCTATAATCCCTAGACTGCCTTTGTTTTCCCCCCCCCCTCATTATATGGACTTTTTCTAGATACATTTTATCTAGTTTATCAGTGCAGTATTTATCATATTCCCATTGCTGGAAGATCATTTTGCAGCCTGTTAGGATACTTGATAAAGGTAAAAATAATAAATTAATAACCCTAATCAGTTGTCTCCTATCTGCAGGTTAAACTATTTTTTCTGGAATCAGAACTTTTACACATTGTACAATGCACAAAACATTAAATTAGCCATGCCCCTATTTCTCAGGCTGAAGTGTTGACAAGTTTAATTCAATGTATGCTTTAATAAATATTGGAAATACGTATTTGGTTTCTCTTTTCAGCATTTATAGTAGCCAGAATAATAAAGCTATATTTCTTGATTATTTTTTCTGGTTGTAGTTTATTAAAACAAACCTTTAATCTTGTCTTAGATGGTGTGCGTCATCCATTACAAATAGTGGAAATAATTGCTGAATACTTGCCATTACAGTGTTCCTGTCATAAGGCAAAGTCATAAGTTGGAAACATACAAAAACACTTTCATAGCAGCCAATTTTTTTTTACATGTACTGGACTGCTTCACGTAGCTTGATTTCTGGATTTCTGGATATTTTTAAACATATAGCTCAGGATTAGCATTAGATATACATATTTAAATGTTGGAACAATTAGGTGAGGAATAATTCATACTATTTATACTGAAGTACAAGATCTGAAAAAAGTTTAAAAGAACTGGTTATTTACTTGTAACTAATTATTTAAGTGTTCTTTTGTGAATTCACATATTTGCACTTGCAGACAGCCTCTTCTGAATCTTCTATAGTTCATAGAGTTTTGGTAGGAGCCCCATTTCTGTGCATAACAAGCATGGTTAGATATAGCTCAATTTCCAAGAAATTGGAAACTCAGAAGGAATGTGAGATTAATTGAAACTAAATGTAGTAATTAAATGCATAAATGCATATTTATCAAAGAACTTCATTTGCACAAAAGTAACCTATTTTTCATCCTAATCTCTGTAATTCATACAAATGGATGACTAGTATTTTATTAGCAAAGTTTAACAATTGTTCCATTTGGAATACATTGGGGAAAGGGACCCAGTGTTTTAGATGGGCCTTAGCCAAAATTAAATGCTATTTAATTGTTTGACCTGGATAGAAGGTAAGCAATCTCTAACATCAAGAGGCTGGGGAAAAGGATAGGTAATGAAAAGTCCTGAATCAGTTGGAATGTCAATATGGAGTTTGGAAGAAGGCATATCTGTTGAAGGACTGCTTTATTCCTATGAAAAATGAGGAAGTGTAATCTTTTTATAAGCCACATAATTTTCTTGTTTGCCAAGCTGATATTATAGAAAGCTAAACTAATGTGATAGTAATATGTGATAGATGAATGGAAGTAGTTGATTATAAGTTTGAAAATGTTTATGGATCTGATGAGGGAATGCCATAGGGTAGGGAAGAGTAAAGATACCGGTTGATAAAGTTGAATGAAACATTTTATGAGGCCCTTCACTTTTTGACTGGAAAAGAGAAGGCGCTGTCTTTTTGTTATGTACACATTCTATTAAAAATTCCCTTTAGCTGCATAATCAGCTCTTTTGAATTGCTTTTAAGAAGCTGGAGGACCCTTCTTGGCCTTGGATCTGAAGTGTGATAGAATTCAATCCGCTGAATTGTAAAATAGGAGGAATCAAAGTTCAGATGATATACATGCAATGATAGATGGATAGTAGACAAGGAAAGTTTAGGACACGGGTAGGCAATCTTGGCTCTTTTATGACTCGTGGACTTCAACTCCCAGAATTGGCTCGGAATTCTGGGAGTTGAAGTCCACGAGTCATAAAAGAGCCAAGGTTGCCTACCCCTGGTTTAGGACATGGTGATATTTTCAGTGAGTGACACAACAGAGAACCTTGGCTTCTAAGAGGGATAAGGATGCAATTGGTCAAATTTCTGCACATGCTCACAAAAATGACGATCGACTGGGAATCAATAAAACATATATAACAAATCTGTCCCACAAGAACAGAAAGGTTTTTGGTAACAATGGGGATATATTTACCCCCTATCTCTTAGGTCAGTGATGGCGAACCTTTTAGAGACTGAGTGCCCTAAAACTGGCCCCACCCCCTGCCCCACCCCACCCGCCCGCAGGGCCACTCACCACCTCCAGGGCCCACCGCAGATCACTCGGGCAGCCCAGCAGTGCCATGGCGGCCACGCCCTCTATTTGCGCGATGGGGCATGAGGGCAGAGTTTTGTCTACGCTGCCTGGCTGCCATGTCCTTGGCTGCACTGCTCCACGTGGGCCATGCTAAGGGGAAACTCTCCAGGGGGGCTGCTGGGGAGGGAGTCATGGGGGGAGGTGAGGCTGGGGCAACAGCACATGTGCCCACAGAGAGGGCTCCAAGTGCCGCCTCTGGCACCCGTGCCATAGGTTCGCCACCACTGTCTTAGGTATTAACAGGTGTCCCAAAATACAAATATGTGGTGGGATTAGATATAGTTGTAGGATGCAGGCTGATCAAAACAAGAGTTTGGTTAGGACATATTTATTCCTTGCCATATAGATTATTACAATAAAGTAGAAATATGAAGCATCAGTTCTCTGTAGGATTGTATTGCACTGTGGATCCAGAATTGAAAAAGTTCATCAGAGTAAGTAGGTACCTCCTTTAAAAAGCTGTGCTCCTCCTGGACTTTTGCACTGACTAGGTGAGGTAAACGCTTAGTTGTTTGGCCTGAAACAACTGTTGCCGCTAAATGAATTAATATCTGTGGACTAATTCTTGGACATGATATCCTGAAGGAGATGAATACTTACATGATTTAAAAAAAACCTTGAAATAGAATAGCATGTTCCATTGTTTCAGAATCACCAAATTTCCTTTCTGCTTTGGAGTACGTAAGTTGAAAATAGCTTTAGTGGTTCAAAGCACTTCAAAGAGCATGTGTCTTCCTTGATCCAGCCACGGTTTTTGAGGGTCATAAGAAGAACGGCACGTAACGTGCATTGCAACTCTCTTTTACATTTCTTTCTTCTTTTAAATCAGACAAGTCTTCTTTTGGGTAGCACACAGAAAATCTTTGCATACGGAACTAAAGACATCCCTGACTTCTGAAGAGTGAAATGGTGGTTGGTGATTATTTAGCAACTGCCTCCAATATTTCGTAATCTAGAAATAATTGTTCAGCAAATCAACTTCCTATACTTATTTGAAAACCAGAATAGCTGCTCAAACAGTGTCTTTGTAAATGCTATATAGCAGGGGTCCCCAATTCCCGGTCTGCGAACCGGTATCTGTCTGTGGACCTTTGGGAATCAGGTCCCGCAAGCAGCATTCTAGCGTGCAGAGCTCCATTTGCACAAGCGGCGGGTGCATGTGCAAAATCATCCCTGCCACCGCCGTTGCTGCCGCCACCACTGCTAGTGGTTGGGGACCACTACTATGTAGCAATAAATTGATAAAGTCCACAATAGAATGTCCCATCAATTACACCATTACTAATTTGTGCTAATTCAATAGCAAACTTTAGTTAACAGCATTACAGTTCTGATTCAAGCTACATATTGTTCTCGAAAGGTAGCCTTTCTAACTTAGAAAAAAAAATAAAATTGCAAAAATGCAAAGAATCTTGCAAATATAAGAAATAAGAGGATATCCACTTTTATTTGTTTAATTTCTTGTTGCTGAAGCAAAGAGCTTGCAACGTACTCAGCAAAGGGTTGCAACCTGTCTTAGAATGATTTTTATGAGCTGCTTCTAAATAACTGCTTTTTTCCTCCCTCTATTTGCAGACACCAGTCATCAAGCTCGTCCCGTATCCCACAGGCCTTATTACACCTTGCCCAATGGTAACCACGAGAGGCGATCTGTCCTCACCATTACTGAGCCTCCACGATTCCACTTCCAGGCCAAAGGAAAAAACATCCGCCTGGATACCCATTCTCGGAAGGCCATCCGAAGGAACAGTTTCTGCAATGGCATCACTTTCACTAACCGTCCTATTCACCTCTATGAGAAAGTGCGTCTGAAGCTGGTGTCTGTGCACCATGGCTGGAGCGGGGCGTTGCGTTTTGGCTTCACAACTCACGATCCATCACAGATGAGTGCCGGTGACATTCCAAAATATGCCTGTCCAGACCTGGTAACCCGACCAGGCTTCTGGGCTAAAGCTCTGCCAGAGAGGTTTGCACTAAGGGACAATGTCCTGGCATTCTGGGTTGATCGCCATGGGAGAGTTTTCTATAGCGTTAATGAAGAAGAGCCAATTCTGTTTCACTGCGGCGTCAAAGTCTCCGGTCCTCTCTGGGCGCTGATAGATGTCTATGGAATCACTCATGAGGTGCAAATACTAGGTAGGTGTATCCTTCTATCTGCTAATCTTTAAAAACACAGCAACTGTTATATGCTGGTCAGGAAGGCAAATTGAATTTCTGAACTTTGAAATAAGATTGCTGCAGTTTGTCCGGGATATATGTGTGTGTGTGTGTGTGTGTGTGTGTGTGTGTGTGTGTGTGTGTGTGTGGTGGTTTACATTTTGATTGAAGTAGGAAGTTAGAAATGTCAGAAAATATTACTGATTAAAAAAGTAGGGCATTCAATTTATGGTTCCAGTGCCATATAGTTTTTTGAACTGCCCTTTGCTCACATGATGAACAGTCTCATTCTCTCAGTTAGCCTCTTGAAAAAAGGCATTTATAAGTGAAGCTGCTACTTGTTTGAAAATGTAAATTGCAGATACCAAGTTCTTCGTTTTCATTTTCACTAAGGTCACTTCTGGCCCAGTTCTTTCACTGTGCTGAAACATTGTTTACCCAACACATTTTTTAAAAAAATAATCCTTTTCCTGGGTTTACGTTGACCATAAACTAATGAAGTGGCCTGGATTCACTCACTATTAAGCCACAAAAATTAAGTGAAATTAAAACTAGTGAAGTTTAGAGTGTTGTGTAGAAGTAATTCTAGGCTTCCAACTGACCTGGCTGAACATGCTGTGAATGCAACCTAGACATATTCACTTCCATTTCACAGGGAAAAAAAGCCTTGCAAAATTCTTAAGAGGTTGACTATTTTCCAAGCAAAAATTAGCATTTTGGGTTTGTTTGTTTTTTTACCTGTTGGGAAAAAAGATAGACTCTATCTGTCTTCCCATTAGAACAGAATTAGACAAAATCCGATGCTGCTAATAACCAAGCTGACAAAAGAAATGCTAAAAACTGGGCAGGTTCAAACAAGGGGCTATGGAGAAAAATGTTCACCCCAAAAGCCCCTATTGTACCCCTCCAGAAGTGGTAATTGGGCTGTACTACAGTATGTTGGTAACTCCATCATTCTAAGCCAGGGGTAGGCAACCTTGGTTCTTTTATGACTCGTGGACTTCAACTCCCAGAATTCCTGAGCCAGCATCGCTCAGGAATTCTGGGTGTTGAAGTCCACGAGTCATAAAAGAGCCAAGGTTGCCTACCCCTGTTCTAAGCCATCCTCCCTCCTCTTGCTCAACCAGATGACCTGAAGTGGAGCCCTCATTAAGGGACTGGAAAGATCCCAAATACCTCATTCAGCAGGCTATTTTAGCCTGGAAGTGTGGATGGCATTTAGTAATCCAGCCTTCATGCAAGCCCAGTGAGTTGAGTATAGGAAGCCTTCATTCTTATGATCTCCCGAGCATGCATATAACAGCAACCTGCACACTAATACAAGCTTAGCGTGTGAGAAGTTGGTTCCTCAAAGGAAGTATTGAACTCCAGAAATTGAAAAAGCAGAATACAAACAAATATTCTCTTAAGACGTCCTATGGAAATCTGTCTTTCTGTTCTCTAATATGACCAACTGGGATTTTAACTAAATCAAACAATAATAAATATGTGTGGGCAAAGGCTTAATGCTTGTAGTGTTCCTTCATAGCATGTTTCTATTTTGTAGTAAGGTTGCAAATGTTTGCCCTTAGTTTCAGTTACGCTTTAGCTTTTGGAATCATGTATGCCAGTGACTGTGGAGGCCATGTACATGAAATAAAAATTATTTTGCTCATCCTTTGACTCCCCAAGATACTAGCTGTATACATCTTGGTCCAGGGAAGGACTGTGACTCTCCTCTTCCTTGTTCTGTAATGCAGGTTTTATAACTGTTATCTCCTTTAAAGGCTACTTAAGAGTCTCACATTACATTCCAGACCTGTCACGCTTTTAAGTAAGATCTGCACCTAAGTAGAAAAGAAACACCAATTTTTTGTCTATCTGAAAACTCCAGCATGGACGACAGTATTGTGATTTTCTATCTAAGAGATTGGAAGTTTCCTTCCCCTTCACCCCCACCCCCTGTGTGACTCTATCTAATTTAGACATGAACTTAATTCTCTTGATTTGTCACCAATTCCTACAGAGTTTAGGAAAGAAATTGATTTCACTCATCCCACTTAGAAATACAGCTCCTACTTTTGTCTTTTCAGGCAAGGCTGCTAGGATATGTTTACAGAAAATTAGGGATCATGATTGCTACTTCAGATTTTAGTTCATGCTTGTGAGGTAGTCTGCAGTTCCAACTGTTCTCAGAACATGCCTCTGGGGTAATATGGATTATCTGACTAAAGCTGTTGTCAGTCACTCTGTTTTACCTTTTTGGTGTTTATTGCAGCTCTCTGCAGCTCTATAAGGAAAGAGTCCCTTCGTGCTATTATAGGCATGATTGCAGAGGATAATTTAGCTTCAGGATAATGTTACATGATGTTCTATAAATGATAGAACAGTCTGAAATGGTATAGGGCAGGGGTAGGCAACCTTGTCTCTTTTATGACTCGTGGACTTCAACTCCCAGAATTCCTGAGCCAGCCATGCTGGCTCAGGAATTCTGGGAGTTGAAGTCCACGAGTCATAAAAGAGCCAAGGTTGCCTATCTCTGGTATAGTGAGTGACTATGAAAAGGAATACCTGTTCCAGGAAGGGGTTAATTTGCTTCATCAATCAGATGAAACTGTGTGAAGGCTTTCCTGGCCATAGGTGCCAAATACTGCATACTGATGATATATGACCCCAGGTCAGTATATGACTTACCCAACAGTTTCATGTGGATGTTAAAGAGAGAAACTAGAGCATTAAACCCTGAGGCACCTTGCAAACCAAGATCTTAGGGCTGGACCTCTCCCCATCTGTCAACACTGAGAAGAATTGGCTATATATAAAAAAGAGCCACCACAACATTATGGCCTTTATTCCCCAACTCCATATCTAATGTAAACCTTTACCATGACCAATTGTACTGAAAGATAGCGAAAGATCAAGAAGAGTCATGATAATCACTCTTCATACTTCCCAATTCTGTCAAAAATCATCAACCAGTGTGATCATTGCTGCCTCCATACTATGCCCCAGCACTGAAACAAGTCCAGATAATAAATTCTTTCCAGAGTCCTCTGAATCTGTACAGGTAGCATTCAACTTATGAATGTAAGTCATGCTGGTTGTTAAGCAGATCACCATGTGAAAGCGTCTGATTTTACGAATTTCTTGCAGCAGCTGTTAAATGAATCCATTGTCTAGAATGATTTTTTCCCCCAGAAACCAGAAGTAAATTCCAGTTTTGGGCAAAAAAAAACCTCCCTATAAATTTTGGTCATGGGACTATGGGACTTTGCAAATGTCCATAAATGTGGGCCACTGCAAACACCTATCATAACTTTGAATCTGTGCTATAAGTAGTCCTATGGAGATCTGTCCTAATTTTGAATGTTTGCCAAGCAACCAGCAATATGTTAAGGACTACTTACATTCTGATGACCTTAACAACTTTACCCAAAAGATAAGGATCCTTACCCCCTTTCTTAAACATGAATTTACCACCACATGGATCCAGCTTTTACCAGTCAGGAGACACATGGAGTTAATAAACAGATCACTGGAATAAGAATCACAAGGTCCTGTCCATTTCTTCAAGAGTCATACGTTTTCCAAGTAACAACACAGTATCAGGCTTTGGGCAATTCAAAAGAGTAGATCTGAGTTACTTTATATTCCAGACTTCATCTTACATTCCAATGCTTTTTGTAAGAGGAATAGAAATTGAAAAACGTTATTTTTATTCTTTCTCCTCTTCCTACTTTGTGGAGTTGTATTAAAAAGAAACCATAAATATTGGCATAAAATGATGATAATATATTTGGTCTATCATATTCTGACTCTATGTAGGATGTAATTTTTAGGCCATCTGGTTTTTAAAGGACACTTGAAGGCCAGCTAGCTGGGACCAGCTGCATATCTCTACAATAGGGGTGTCAAACTGCCGGCCCATGGGCCGGACGTGTCACGTGGAAGCCGCACCCACCCGATTGCCGGCAATGGCAAAACCGGCCTGATACGTTGCGCGACATCATGTGACGTCGCGAGTTTGACATGCCTGCTCTACAAGGATGCTATTCCAAAGTGCAGGTGCAGTAGAGAAGGTCCACTTTATGAGTCTCACTAGTTCATTGTTTAATCGAAAAGACTTGAAGAAAACCAAGTCTGTCACAGCACAGAACAGGTAGATATTATAGGAGCCAGGTGGTCCTCAGTAGGTAGGTCCTATGTAATATAGGGCTTTATAGGCGATATCCAGCATCTTGAATTGCCCTAGAAGCCAACTGGTAACCAGTATAGCTCACATACCAGAGTTGTTGTACTGCCACAGCAAGACTTCCCCATCACAGCTTGTGCAGAATGCTACTGTATTCTGGACCAGGAGGAACTAAAGCATTGAGCTTTGAGGCACCTCACAAATGAAAAGTTTTAGGCTCAACTTCTTCCCTCCAGTTAATACTAATTGGAACCAGCTGCAGAGAAAGGAAGAAAATCACAGTAACTCAGTGTCCCTCTTTCCCTTTAGCAAGTTCAAGAGGATACCATGATTGATTTTATCAAAAGCCACTGAGAAATCAGGAGTCAGCACCACCCTAGCCTATCTCCGGTTTAGGTCATCCACCAGTAGGACTCATGCATTCTCCATATTATTTCCACAAATCATGCTATGATTTCAGTGGAATACTATGCATAGAGTGGCCTAAAATTAGAGAGCTGAGCATGCTTCCAGACAAGGCTTTCATTGTGCCTTGTCTAAAAAATGGAAATGGACAAGCGAGCCAGAAATTGTAGTCTTGCATTTTGCAGCTACCCTGTTTTTCCACAGCGTCTTGCAACATTTTTCTGACCACTAATGAAAGAGGAAGAAAAAAGATGAAAAGGGGAGGAAAGCTAAAATGCTGCACAATGTCTTTTGCTTTGTAGTTCTAGAACAGGGGTCTTCAAACTTGGCCCTTTTATGACTCGTGGACTTCAACTCCCAGAATTCCTCAGCCAGGCATGCCTGGCTGAGGAATTCTGGGAGTTGAAGTCCACGAGTCTTAAAAGGACCAAGTTTGAAGACCCCTGTTCTAGAAGCGCCCTAAACCTTTGGCAAATTAGTACACAATTTCAATGTGCCTCCTCTTTCTCAGCTGTGACAACTTTGAGTGAAAAGAATGGCTTACTGTGGAGCAGCCTGCTTCGGTTTTATTGCTTTTGGATAAGAAGCATCCTTTTTCTTGACATCTGAAGCTATCAGATGTGAATAATTCTGGGAGAGTCTCTAGCCTGCTCACATGGCCTGTCAATAACAAAGTATCTAGTGTGCTTGAAGGTCACAATTGCTGCTTTAATGTGCAACATATTACCCAATATATTATTAATGATCTGTAAGACGATTAAATGTTTTCTTGTTTCTCTTTGGTGAATTAAAGTGGCAGTGACAAAGGCAGAGGAAAGTAGGAAAGGGGTTTTTTTTTAAAAAAAACAACAACTGCAAGTTTGAGGGAGGGAGATCAGTAAACAGGAATGGACTTCTCCTTTGATACACCCTTTTTATGGCTGAAAAAGAAGGAGCTGCAAGGTGCAAGGACTCCCGAAAAGAACGCTAATAATATACTGAACTACATGAATGAATTGGGAGATTATTACTAAATTGACTTAGTGGGATTTAATTTAATGCAAGGATAGCTAACATATGATCCTCAGCCTCCAAGTATGTTTGAACTACAAGTTATTTTTATTCATTTCTTTCTTTCTTTATCAAATTTATATAGCCGCTCATCTCACCAAAGGCGACTCGAGGCAGCAGACCATAATAAATAAAATAGAAAACATAAAAATAACAAATGCAAATATAAAAATAATAGCATAAAAACATCGATCAATATCTATCCATGCCACGTCGAAGGAAAATTAGGATTGATGGGAACTGGAATTCAAAAAAGATCAGACCCCCAAGTGCTGGTTTTTAAATTCTATACTTCCATCTTGCTTTTGCTTTTTTAATTTACATTCTGCCTTTATTATTTTTATAAGCAACTCAAGGTGGTGAACTTATCTAATATTCCTTCCTCCTCCTGGTTTCCCCACAACGACAACCCTGCGAGGTGAGATGGGCTCAGAGAGAGAGAGACTGGCTCAAAGTCACCCAGCTGGCTTTCATGGCTAAGATCAGATTAAAATTCAGGGGCTTCCAGTTTCTAGACTGCAACCTTAACCACTGGAACAAACTGGTTTAGTCTGTAACTATGAAAACTCAGAAGGGCTGGTATAAAATACTGCTTCTGACATTTATATATGACGAAAATAGAGCTGAAACTATTAATAACCTACTCAAAATGGGCTAAAGTAAAAATAATTAATCACAACATAGCTCAAAACAATAGTCTGAATGGGACTTGTAGCTTATCTGTAATCTTGGCTTCACTTTACAGATAGCATATTTGCGGAGACCATGACCTCCACCCGTCTGAGCAACGCACGACTCAGCACTTGCCTTCCTCAGAGCAACCACGATTCGGCCAATTTTAACAACAATGAGCTGGAGAACAATCAAGTGGTTGCCAAAATTGCAAATCTGAATTTGAGCCGCATGCCTGGGCTGCCCACCGATAACCATACAATCCCCTGCTGCCCAAGCAGGAGGCAGCTGGGCCAAGTTGTGCCTGCCTTTCTAGACACAGATCTTCATTTCCACCCTACTCACGGGCCTGATATTAACTTTTCTCAGGATCGTATGTCTGGCTGCACCAACTGGCAGGAAAGCAACAGGACCTTGGTGTTTTCTGATCGACCTTTGCACATTGGCGAAAGCTTGTTTGTGGAAGTGGGACACCTGGGCTTGCCATGTTATGGGGCCCTCACCTTTGGTATCACTTCCTGTGATCCCGGTACTTTACGGACAAATGAGCTCCCAGCAGATCCAGATTTTCTTCTGGATCGCAAGGAGTATTGGGTGGTTTGCCGAGGTTTCCCAGTCCTCAACAATGGTGACATCCTCAACTTTGTGCTTTTGCCAAATGGAGAAGTGCATCATGGAATCAACGGGATAAGCCGTGGGATGCTGATGTGTGTTGATACCTCACAATCGCTGTGGGTTTTCTTCTCAATCCATGGTGTAATCAATCAGCTAAAAATATTAGGTAAGTAAGTATAGCATCAAAGTTAATGACCAGAATAATATAAAGGAAGTGTTAGTGAAACAATGAAAAGCCTTACAGCCATTTGGAGAGACCCTTTTTTTCGTTTTAGCGTGCAACAGCCAATTGGCTAAACGCTTTGTACTTTTATTTGACCAGTATGAGGATGATTAAAATATGAAGTTATATCTTTTGGGTGCTCCAACACTACAGGTTTTTAGTAAGAGACTGGACAGCCACTTGTCTGAAATCATATAGGGTTTTCTGTTTGAGCAGGGGGCTGGATTAGAAGACTCTAAGGTCCCATCCAGCTCTGTTATTTTGTTATACCTGAGTAAAAGGACAGAATCAGCTGTCTATCTTCTGTTTGTCAAGCATGTATTTTTAACCCCTTTTTATAAACTGAAGCTAGATAGTCTGCACAAGTTTTCATTGTTCAGTAAACTAGGTTCAGGCAAAAAGGAAGGAATTTGTATCCAACCGGACCAGAGTACAAGAACAGAAGAAGCTAACAAGGATCTGTGATAATCCTATCATTGCTCTCTAGCACTACTGCTAGGTAGGACTTACAAGCCACTTAGTACAACTGAAGGGATTGTTTAACAGCTGGAAAATATCAGATTCTGGAGTAGCATTTACTAGTGTAGAAAGAACTGCCATGTGTAATCAATCATGGGGTCACCTAATCAGCATTCTCTTCTCAAAAAGAGAGAGCTAGGTACTTAAGCATGGAACATCTGGTCTACCCTGTTCTTGATTGTCTCTAATACCAGGTACTGAAACAGGAGGGGTCTGTTTAGCTATCATGGCTAGCATGCTTCTTATTTGGATGTACCCTTGTTAGTGGGGAGAGGAGGCTACATTTTATTAATGTCTCTATTTACCAGGACATAACAGAATGCCATTTTAGAAGAATAGGAAAATCTGTCCCTTGCATCAGAGTTGTGCTAAATGAAATATCCATTTCATCTTACAAAGACAATTTGGATCTCTCCTAGTTCAGCATATTCCTGGGCCTAAAAAAAAAAAGCTAGGAGGAAAGTGAACCTTGTTTTCGAGTAGAGGTTGCTCATTATCTTAAACAAGCCTGCTAAAAAGTAACACAATGTAGTTAGAAACCACTCTTGCTATAAAGACTGTTGGGAAGCTGAAACAGAAGTTGTTCTCCGGTTCCCAAATTGAACTCAAATTGAGACAACCTGTTCATGAGAGATTCCTACCCAACTTGAGCAGCTGACTGAACTTTTCCTTTTCAGGCACCGTACAATCCAGCCCTGTGACCATCTCCCCCTCAGGATCCCCTGGAGGCTCCCAATATGACAGCGATTCGGACATGGCGTTCAGCGTGAACCGGTCTTCATCTGCTTCTGAATCATCCCTAGGTAAGGATCGTTTGCTGATCGCTGCAGTGGAAATATCTGCATTCAGGACCCTAAGAAATACAGTACAATCCAAGCTGTGTGGGCTGAGTGGTCTGAGAGAAGGCATGCTGAGTTGTGCTAAGCGTGGCATACTTTTTGTTGAGAGGAAGGAACGTTAAATTTCCCGAGGTTGCTTTTAAGTGCCCCGTTGGACATCTTTAGGTGATGCACAGATCTTCTTTTGTAAACGCAGCAACAGAAGCCCAGTGAAGCTAAAATGATTTGACAGAGCAATGGAACGACGTTTAAGGGATACAAGCAACTAAGCAGAAAAATCTCCATCTGTCAGAACTAGTGCTAGAGAACTTAACTGGTAGGAAATAAAAGCAAATGGCAAAGGGCCAAAGTGCTGACTCTGTAAATGCCATATTTTACCAGGACATACTTGTTCTTCACATATTGTGACGGTTCATTGGTTTCCTGAATATTGATTGATCCTCAGAAAGAGAGAGCAAATGTGCATGTACTTAGTTTCCCAATGCACTGAAGGATACTGCATAAAAGAGTCCGTGTAGATTGGAAATCCCATCTCCCTCTCAATTACTTATCTAGTTGCAAAGAAATGTGGGGGAGGGAGGGAAAATGAGAGGGAGGGGGGAGAGAGAAGATTGTTACATTTTTCAGTTGCATTTTCTGTGTTCCAGTTATTAGGCTGGAGGAAAATATTTTCTCACCTTTATAATCATTGTAGCATTTTTAAAGGCATTCAGTAGGGGTTTCTCCAATATGTTCATCTATTTAACAATGCTTGTCAAAACGTGCATACGTTGTGTTACAAACATGACTGAGCAGCAGCAACCAAAAAAGCTAACAAAATCCTGGGTTATATAAACAGAGGCGTAGAATCAAGATCACGAGAAGTACTATTACCGCTTTATAAAGCCCTAGTAAGACCACACCTGGAATACTGCAGCCAGTTTTGGTCACCATATCACAAAAAAAGATGTTGAGAGTTTGGAAAAAATTCAAAGAAGAGCAACTAAGACGATCAGGGCCCTGGAGACTAAAACATATGAAAAATGGCTATGGGATTTGGGCCTGACTAGTCTAAGGAAAAGAAGAAATAGGGGAGACATGATAGCAGTGTTCCAGTACCTGAGGGGCTGCCACAAGGCAGAGGGGGCCAGGTTGTTCACCAAAGCATCAGATGGAAGGACGAGAAACAACGGTTGGAAACTGACCAAAGAGAGAAGCAACCTGAAATTAAGGAGAAATTTTCTGACAGTGTGTGTCTTCTCAGCCACAGTTGGATTAAAAGTCTATGCTATTTCGTCGTCATCATCATTATCATCCTTTTGCACCAGAAGGCTGTGCAACTGGGAAGTCTGAAGTAAATACTCTTAATAAAAGACTGGTTCAAGCATATCATTATAAACACATCATTACAAATAATGAACTAAACTGTAGCTAAAAAATGCACCCATGCTCCCCCCCCCAAGACAACAAACATTCATTCTATGTAATATTAGCCACCCCAAATTCCATTCATGACATTCACATCTTCGGCACACGAAAAAGTTATTTAGAAGATGCAAACATTTTTTTTATGAAAGCAGTTCTATATTGCTATATAAAATTAATCTTATATTTATTCTAATGCACTTTCATCTAACCAACGGTTTCCAATGCCTGGCTGATGTTTGTCCTCTCTGCCCAGCAGTCAGATTTCACTTCCGGTATAATGACATAACTTTTTTTTCCTGTCTTTATTGCCTCTTTAATGTTTACTTTACAAAAGGTTCTTTTTTATCATTAGAAAAATGGTTTTGAGTGACTCCTTTTTAGCCCGACTTGTAGAAAAGGAGGTGACTTTTCTAACCCCAGTTCCTTCATTTTCCATCCCATATAGTGACTGCTCCAAGTTCTCCTCTGAGCCCTCCAGTGTCTCCTGTGTTCTCACCTCCAGAGCCCTCACGCAGCAAGAACGGGGAATGCACAGTTTGCTTTGACAACGAGGTGGATGTGGTGATCTATACCTGTGGACACATGTGCCTGTGCAACACCTGTGGTCTTAAACTGAAGAAACAGCTCAATGCCTGCTGCCCAATCTGCCGACGGGTCATTAAAGACATTATCAAAATCTACCGTCCTTAACCTCAACCACGCCCACCCCTCAGGGCGTGATTAATGAGGAGCAGGATGAAGAATGTTGTTAGCGATTGCCACACCTTACTGTCCCTGCTTTATGGGTATCGTGCTGGTCAGTGGTTGCTGAGTGACTCTTGTCTGTATTTCCATGTTTTGACCAGTAGAAACAAATCAGGGAAAATTAAGTGAACTGGGAAACACTCTGTCTTTGTAAGAGGCTGAAAGTACAGCTGCAGAGTGGGAAGAGCTTTTGGAAAGTTGCTGCTCCGATGAGTAAGGGTGGGGCCCCGGGGAAGAGGAGTCCTAATACAATTGCCGTGTTGATTCCTAAAGAAAACCAAAAAGATCTTGTGCATTGTTTTCACTCAAATATGCAGCTAACTTATCTTGAGCGGGATAAACGAGAAAGTCACTAGACCAGTTTAAAATTTGGGATTCTTTCCTGCTAAGTCTAGGAATGCTAAAAAATTAGTTTGATTTGTAAGCCAGTTCAAATAGAAAAGATGAGAGTAAATTTTCATGTATAGTTACTTAGGGTTGCAGGAGCAACAGGTCATGAATGTTCTGTTACCTAATTTGCTAATTTAAAAATATTTTTTCATATTATTCATAGGTCAAGATTATGAATAGGGATGATCGAATTAATCGATTGTTCCCAATCAAATGTGTAAGAGCAGTGATACTTTCATAAATCTAAGTTTATTAAGTTTTATTTTTGGTTTACAACACGGACTACTCATTTTTTCCCCCCTCCAAATGTAAGAAGTTGTGGCTCAGTTTATGAAATCAAGAACAAGGCATCTTCTTGGGAGAGTCTGGCACACACAGAGAGCTATAAAGGTTCTCTCAGGATTTGATTTTTCACCTCTGTGTGATTTGATACTTCCAGCCTTTCTAGTGAGCAATTGCCAAGTGCTTTCTGATCTGGAGAATTGTGTGGAAAGCAGTAGGCCCCTGCAGGCAGAAGAAGTCATGTTGTTAGTTTGGTTTTGGCTTAGGATGTTGTGTGAATTCAGATCATTGGAATAAGCAACCAGCCCCGGCTTATTTTATGTGATCCATCAGCTTATGATAGAGGCCGTGAATAGTTATTAGCCCAGCATCTGTAAGGTATAACACATGAAGGTATCCTTTTAAGTTACATGGAAAAAAAGTGGCTAATGGATTATTTAGAATTTCAAGCTTCCAGTGTTTTCTTATTTATGATTTATAAATACAGTTGATTGATACCTTCCTTCATTTCTTTCCAGAGGTTTTGTCAACAAAGTATGTAGCAATGTCCATAACTTCCGCTCCAGGAAATGGTCTGCTGTTCCACAAGGGAGGCATCTTACTGAAATTGAAAAGCTTTTTATTTGGCACTGTTTGCGGGAAAAGGAATTTTCAAGCTATTATTAGACCTGCACTTAAAAGATAAATAAAATTTGGTTATAGTATTAGTGCTGAATTACAACCTGAATAATATGTGAAGGAGAGCCAGGGAATTACTAAATGAGGCCCAGATGTGGATTCTTTTTTCTAAGAGAGCAATCCTGTGCTGTTCTGGAGGGCTTCAGTATTCAATGGTCTTTGGAAATTTAAATTTCCAATGAGTTAACTAGAGCCTGTTTGGTAGTGGTTAAAATATAGGTAGTCCTCGACTTATAACAGTTCATTTAGTGACCATTTGAACTTACAATGGCACTGAAAAAAGTCACTAATGACCATTTTTCACATTTATGACCGTTGCACCATCTCCATAGTCATGTGATCAAAATTCTGATACTTGGCAACTGACTCATATTTATGACGGTTGCAGTGGCCTGGAGTCATGTGATTATTTTTTGCGGCTTTCTGACAAATAAAGTCAATTGGGGAAGCCAGATTCACTGAACAACCATGTTAATAACAACTGCAGTAATTCACTTAACAGCCGTGTCGTGTTAGGTCGTAAAATGTGGTAAAACTCACTTAACATATGTTTCGCTTAGCAACAGGAATTTTGGGCTCAACTGTGGTTGTAAGTCAAGGACCACTTCTACTTATGTGACCTTTTCCAGGTACCTCAGACAGGAAGTAGACCAGATGAGCTAATTCTACTTTATTGAACCTTATTGTAAGCTAATTCTATTTTATTGTTACGTTAACAGAAGGAATCTTGCAGGTCTGAAAGTACTCTCCATCTTTTTTTTACAGCTTGATATAACTTAGATCCTGAGTTGCTCTACCCATTATGCAATTGAGGACTCCCCCCTTTTTATCTGACTATCATTTAGGCCAGTGGCCCCCAACTATTGGGCACCAGGGACTGGTTCCGTGGAGAGAGATGTCTCTGTGAACCAGAGGGGGGCATGATTTTGTGTGCTGCTTGCATCCCGCGGATGGAGCTTTGTGCAGCCCGGTTTCTGGCATGTAATGGACCGGTGCCGGTCCACAGACCAGGGGTTGGGGACCCCTGCTCTAAGCGGTGTCTCTTCCCCTCATTTCTCAAGGTCATTTCTGTCTTAGCCAGAAAAGCCAGCTGGGTGACCTTGGGCCAGTCACTCACTCTCAGCCCTAGAAGAAGGTGATGGCAAACGACTTCTGAAATTTTGCCATCACCAGGAGTCAAGACTGACTTGAAGACACCCCCTGTTCCCTTTTAGTCCTTCTCAAAGGCTGAGCTCTCCCTACCACTGATTTTGGAGGCTCTAGAAATATTAATCTCCCATTGCAGCCTATCCATTTAGTCAGCAAAATGACTAGTAGAATTTATCTACTCTAAAGCTCTACCTTTATGACAATTACTGTATTCTGATATGTAACTGATGGGAGCCAAGGCTGCTTTTAAATTGTTTATGACTTGTTCCTGTAATACCTGTACTAGAGGAGCTGATGAAATCTAAAGGATACCATATGCGCACATTTCTTCTCATGGCATTGTTAGGACCCATCTAAGCTCTGATTGAATTTTTCCCCAGATAGTCAGTGTGGTACATGATGGCTTCCAGTAAATGTTGCTATGCATTTTGAATTCTATCTACCATGTAAACTTGAGTAATGAAGTTAGCATTGCAGTGCAATCAGTTATTGGGGAAAGAATGGCTGAGAACATTAGAACGTTTTTGATGAAATAATACAATTACACTTGTATGCACAGGCTGTTTTCAGTAGGTTCTGGATTCTTAACAACTACTTGATCTTAGCTGACTTTAATTTCAGGTTTTCTAGCCATAGATGTCACATATGTGCATGATAAAGCTGGATAACTGAGATTGTTTCACTGTTTAAGATGAGACTGCATTATGATGGAAAACTTTCTAAGGAATAATATTATTCTGATTGTTGAAGGCCATAGAGAGCGATAATTATATAGTAATAACCCTGAAATTGCGAGATTCAAACTTTTGGATAAAGCTTTAGCATGAACATTTTAGCCCTTTTGCTGTTGGTAGATTGGTTTAAATAAAAAACAATGCCAGTGTAATTCCAGGTTACACTGCCCATTTTTGAACAGTATGATCCTGGAGTGAAAAACAGGGATTACACGTGGATTGTAGTTTGCTCAGTCCTGCCATAGAAATTGCATTATGACTTGGAGAGGAAGAAACTCATCTCTATCATCTTTATCTCGTTGTGAGTTTAAATGCTTGGTCAAGAGTAATTTCACAAGTTAAGATAATTGTTTGCTAGAAGTGGTTTTGTGAACTGTAACTTTTTACTTGTATAGAAAATTTTCTGGCTCAATCAGCAGCATTATTTTCCTTTCTGCTACTTTTCACTACTGTTGATCAGAGATTTCTTTCTCGGAGAGTTTCTAGATTAATGTGATCACAACTACTAAAGATTGCTCCTGGGGATGTGCAAAACATTTGAAATTCAAAACACCCTATTTTGAATATGAATTGGCTGATATGAAGATTGTGAAAGTGTTTTGAGCACAAAACTTCCAAAATATTTGGAATGCTCAGTTCCACACCTAGAGAACTTGGTAGGTGATGTAATTCGGACAAGGTCAGTATGAGATTATTCAAAATTTTTTGCAGATCCCTAATTGTTACTACAGATAGATATTTTTTTTTAGTATTACAGTGCTGTTGTGTAGTTCTAGTACGTCTCCAGGCAATAGAATTGTGATGAATAGTGAGTATTACAGACTTCCTTTGTTCTTACTGCTCTTATGGGGTAGTCTCAGAAATCAGGCCTGGTCAAGGGGCTGGAGTGTATTAATAGTACAAAACTCTACATTGTGACAGGTATGATAAATCCAAGGATGTTTTCCCCACTTGGGTGCTATTTACAACCTCCAACACTGATGTTCTCAGCAACACGTAGCCTCCTAGTATCTCTTTCAGAACTGTCACTTGAGTCTATTTAATCATCAGCCATTTAATATAAAATCTACCTGAGCATTTGCCCTAAACCTTTGCACTGGAACTGATTTAGCTAAGTCAGCATATTTTCCTCCTGGCTTGGCAGTTTATGCCTACAATAACTGCAAAAAGCAAAATGCTTGGTGCCAAGGCAAAAAAGGGTCTTCTTTATCTTAAAAGAGATTTACCAAATGAAGCAGCATCTGACAGAGGCTCGGAGGCAGGTCCATAAGCTTAAACGGAAACACAGTTCTGTTTAACTGAAGTTTCAGAAGGAAGTCTCACATGCTGACAGATAACATTTAGGAAGTGGAGGCAGGCTACTTAGCAATTAGTTTTCGCTACTGCTTGTTCCTTTTTTTTAATTTGTTCTGAAAAATCTGTTCGTGCCTTATAAGGGTGTGTGTGCACTTTTTATCCTTTTTAATGCTACTTTAAAACGGAGAGGGGAAAAAAAAAGATCTTAACACAAATGGCTGGTAGTTTTATAGACTTTCCTGTGTTCACCAATAATTATGCTTTTTGATATTGGAGTGACAAATGTATGTTTTCATTGAATTTTTGCTGGCACTCTCCTTCCCCTTTGTATAAAAAGCTTTTAAAAAAAGTTTCCAGATTTTTAGAATTTCTTGATATATCTGTAGTACATGATGTGAGCTGTATTTCACATTTTCA